TGTCAAGACTCTATTTACATTCTGCATTACATTCTAATGTATACAGAATAATGTATAGATGAATCCCCTTTAATTATTTAAATTTAAGTCAAAAATGGCCTTTTAACTTTATTGAACTATTTAATATCTAAAAAATGTTAAACATTATTTGTATCAAGACATGACATTTTTCTAAGTAATAACACCATATTTCATATACAGTTGAAGTCAGCATTTATTAGCCCTTTTTTGATTTTTTTTTCTTTTTTAATTTTCACAGTATGTCTGATAATATTTTTTCCTGTAGAGAAAGTCTTGTTTATTTTATTACTGCTATAATAAAAGCAGTTTTTAGTTTTTTAAACACCATTTTAAGGACAAAATTATTATCCCCTTTAAGCTTTATATTTTTCAGATAGTCTACAGAACAAACCATTGTTACACAGTAACTTGCCTAATTACCCTAACCTGCCTAGTTAACCCAGTTAACCTATTTAAGCTGTTTAGAAGTGTCTTGAAAAATATCTAGTTAAATATTATTTGCTGTCATCACGGCACAGATTAAATAAATCAGTTATTAGAGATGAGTTATTAAAACTATTTTGTTTAGAAATGTGTTTAAACAATTGGGTGAAAAATAAACGGGGCGTAATAGTTTTGAATTCAACTGTATACCATATATTCACATTGATTTCTTACTTAATTCATTGCAATTGTTAGACAGGTCTAACCTTTTTTAGCTGAGAAATGTATATACTATAGTAATTTCTAAATAACAGTTACATGTACAATTACTTTTCTTTTCTTAACACCATATTTGGTCTGGAACTGTTAATTTTTTCCTAATTATGTTTAATTTTCATTAGTTGAAAAATATAATTATTAAAAAAAACATATTGGTGTAACAATAAAATACAATTACTTTGCTTCTCTGAATTGAATGACTAAATAAAGTGTTGATAAATAATGGTCTAAAATAATGCAATTTTCCATTTACTTTATTTAAAAAACTAAATTTTTTTCAGTGGAAACGCTTTAATAATAAGTGTCACTGAAATTAACAGTACAAGCTTAAAATGTGATTTAAAAGCTTAAAATGCGATTAAAGTGTATATTGGTATAACACTAAATTACAATTACTCTTCTGAATTTATTTACAGTGTTGAACTGTTGAATTTATGCTCTGTATTTAATACAAGTAAATTATAAGTAACTGTAATTAAATGACTTAAAAATAAAAAAGTAATTCATTCACTCAGAAAAGTGATTAAATTACAGTTACTTTTTACTTTATTATTTCATCAAGTATAATAAAGCAAGTTTTGGGTCATGTGTTAGCAGGGCCGGAGCAAGCTGAACTGCTGCTCTAGGCAGAGGATGATCACGCCGCCCTCAACCCCAATGTGAAAACGAAAGTGATTATGAAAATGAAGTGAGGTGTCGCGGACCTCTTTTGCGGCGCTTTATGCGCGGATATAACTAAGGACGCGCGGGTGCTAAGGGAGGGAGGTGTCGCGGACACTGCGCTCTTTATTCTGCCGCCCTATGCGCGGATATAACTGAGGACGTGCGGGTGTCGCGGACCTCAATTCTGCCGCCCTATGTGCGGATATAACTGAGGACATGCTGGTGCTGATGGAGGTGTCGCTGACGCCGCCCTCTCTATTCTGTCGTCTATGCGCGAATATATTTGAGGACGCGGGTGGTGAGGGAGGTGTCGCGGACTTAACTGAGGACGCGGGTGGTAAGGGAGGAGTTGCGGATGCTGCCCTCTCTATACTGCCGCCCTAGGCGGCCGCCTAGGTCGCCTCTATGGACGCGCCGGCCCTGTGTGTTAGTCCAAAATGTACCACTAAAGCAAATCATAAACAATAATAGCAAAGAGGTTAACTAATTTACATATTATTATCAAGTAAATGAATAAATAAAAACATAGAGGTAAAGAAAAAAGAAACATTATACCAAATATAAGCACTAATATTGTATCTAAATAGTCACAAAGCCTCTATAAATAACATACAACAAAATAATATATTTTTCAGACCACAGCACAATCCTATAATGGTTTACTTTATAACTAATTGCACTCAACACAGACCCTGATGCATTCACATTTTGTTAGCAAAACTGGAATCCATGTTTAAGCTGATATTCTAATACGTACTAACTAGTAGTTTCATGTCCAAACAGCAAGCGGATCGAGACTGGTACATGATGGATGAAGGTTATGACGAGTTTCACAACCCACTGACATCCAGCTCAGACGAATATGTGAAGAAGCGGGAGCAGATCCTGCAGAAACAGACCCAGAAACGCATCTCGGCACAGAAAAGACAAATCAATGAGGTGACAATACACATCCTCACACATCTGTACAGATCCTCACACATCTCATACTCACTCAACTGTCGCTTTCTCTCCAGGATAACGAACGCTGGGAGACGAACCGCATGCTCACCAGTGGAGTGGTTCAGCGTCTGGAGGTGGATGAGGATTTTGAGGAAGACAACGCAGCCCGAGTTCATTTACTTGTGCATAACCTTGTGCCACCCTTCCTCGATGGGAGGATTGTCTTCACTAAACAGGTACTACAGTGGCCGAGAGAGCTAGGTTAACTAGACTAGTTATTTAAGCATGTCATTGGACAACAGTGTTTTTTTTCTATAGCCAATAAAAAAAAAAAACAATTCTTAAGGGGGATAATACTGTAATACTGACCTGAATTTTATTTTATTTTTTTAATTGATGAAAAAATATAATAGAAAATACTATGAACATCTCCTTGCTAGGTTAAACATCACTTTGGAAATATTAAAGCAAGGCTGATCATTTTGCCTTTGACAGCATCGTAGATGTGCAGCCTTTAACTGTTTATTTGACTTTTTCTTTTGTTCCTCCAGCCTGAGCCGGTCATTCCAGTGAAAGATGCGACCTCAGACATGGCCATCATCTCCCGTAAAGGCAGTCAACTGGTGCGACGCCACCGAGAGCAGAAAGAGAGAAAGAAGGTGCGTGTCTCATTTTTACGTGCATTTTGACTGCTCGCTCTCTCTCCAGGACAGCAGGGTTAATGTAACTGTTGTTTTGCTTCTTAAAGGCACAGCACAAACACTGGGAGCTCGCTGGCACCAAACTGGGTGACATCATGGGAATCCAAAAAAAAGAGGATGGGGGAGACAGTAAAGCTGTTGGAGAAGATGGAAAAGTGGATTACAGGTAAAACAGAGGTGTATTTTGATGTTGTTGCTTGCATCAAGAAGACATCAATACGTTGGATTCTTGTTTTCATTTTTATTACTTAAGGATTTCTTTACTATTGTAGTTGGGAATTCTGGGTCCCCAGTGTTGGTTCTCTAGACGGCATATTAAGTTATTTATTTATTTATTTATTTATTATTTTATGTTTTGTTATATTTTAATTAATTAATTTATTGTTTTATTTATTTATTTTATTTTAATAAAGGATTTATTATTTTATTTATTTATTTGTTTATGATTTAATTTTTATTTTAGTTTATTATTTATTATTTTATTTATTTATTTATTTGATTTTAATTCATTAATTCATTTTTATTTATTTATTTTAGTTATTTGTTTTTATTTATTTATTTTTAATTATTAAATTTATTTTAATTGATTGATTGATTGATTGATTGAGCCTGATGCATGTGTTTTAGATTTTATTTGATAATCTGATTACATCTATATATATATATATATATATATATATATATATATATATATATATATATATATATATATATATATATATATATATATATATATATATATATATATATATATTCTTAAATGTACACAAATATTTTGGAAATTCATTATTTTTATTCAGCAAATATTGATAATTTTAAATAAAAGTGATCATAAAATAATTTTATATAAAATCATTTATATTCATTAAAAGATAATTTTCATTAAACATTTACTGGTCACTCTTTACAATATGGTTCCAACTTCTATTAGTTTTAAATTTTCATTCATTCATTCACTTTCTTTTCGGCTTTGTACCTTTATTAATCCGGGATCGTCCAGCATATATTTTGTCCAGCGGATGCCCTTCCAGCTGCAACCCAACACTGGAAAATATCCATACACACACATTTACACACATGACTACTGACAATTTAGGCTACCCAATTCACCTACACCACGTGTTTTGGACTTGTGGGGCAAACCAGAGCACACGGTGCAGAGAAAATGGGGAGAACATGCTAACTCCACACAGAAACGCCAACTGATCCAGCCAGGCTCAAACCAGCCACCTTCTTGCTGTGAGGTCAATGTGCTACTCACTATGCCACCGTGCAGCCTTGTTATCACTAATTAATGTATTAACTAAGATGAACAATCAATAAACGATACATTTATTACAGTATTCATCTTTCATAATGTCAGTTAATGAAAACAAAGTTGCTCCTGTTAACTCAGTGCATTAACTAATACTGACAAGCATAACTTTGGATTTTAATAATGCATTAGTAAATATTGAAGTATGTTTAATAAATACTGCACAATTATTGTTTATTAATAATTGAGGATAATAAATACATTTACTAATAAAACCTCATTGTAAAGTGTGACCCGTTTACTGAAATAATAGTTTTAAATTCTAATATTGAGATGGCACGGTGACTCCGTGGTTAGCACTGCCTCCTCACAGCAAGAAGGTCGGTGGTAGTTTGAGTCCCAGCTGTGTCAGTTGGCATTTCTGTGTGGAGTTTGTATGTTTGCGTGGGTTTCCTCTGGGTGCTCTGGTTTTTCCCACAGTCAGTTGGTTGTAGTGTATGAGTGTGTGTGTGAATGTCAGAGTGTATGGTTGTCTCCCAGTACAGATTTGCGGCTGGAAGGGCGGCGGCTGTGTAAAACACATGCTGGAATAGTTGGCGGTTCATTCCGCTGTGGCGACTGCTGATAAATAAGGGAATAAACCAAAGGAAAATCAATAAATGAATCCTAATATTTGATAAGATTGCAGTTTTACTAATCTAAATGTATATATTTTTACATTTTTAATGTTTGTCCATTTCAGCATATACATTTTTCCTCTACAAAAATCTACTCTTTTATTATTCCCGCCAAAATCAGTTTTGAAATAGTACAAAATAGTACAAAAAAACTCTTTTAGTCGTCCTCATCTTTGTTCTCTTCATTATTTCAGAGCCGAGCAGAAGTTTGCTGATCACATGAAGGAGAAGAGTGAAGCGAGCAGTGACTTTGCCAAAAAGAAGACTCTGTTAGAACAGAGACAGTATCTGCCCATCTTTGCTGTTCGCCAGCAGCTGCTCAACATCATCAGGTCTTGACCACACTCATCAACATATTTTTTCTTTAAAGGGAAAGTTCACCCAAAAATCTGTCATCATTTAGGCCCCGTTTACACTGTCAGGTCTTGGTGCCCAATTCCGAATTGTTGCCTATATCTGATTTGTTTGCCTGTCTGTTTACACATTGTTTTAATTGTGACCCATATCCAATTCATGCGTTTACACTTGCCATACAATTTACGATGTCGCGCATGTATAAAGGCGGATTCTAACATCTGTGCCACACAAGCCACGATGGAAGAAATTGTCTTTTATTTAGCTCTGCGAATTATGCAAAGTGTAGTATAAGCAGTGGATGGTTTAGTCCAGATTTATCCCCATGCAGTTTATGTAATGGTATGGCCCTGATGTGTGTGTGTGTAGTTGAAGATGTAGCCTTTGCATGTGTGCGCACTGGTGTTGGAGAGAATATAGTTATTCTATGTTTAGCCCGCAGTGCATGTATTAATAGCGACAAAAAGGAAAAGTTACAACACGCCTGTTCGAAAAGTTCACCTGACTTTAAAATGATTTTGAGGCGGAGGTGGGAAAGGGCCGTCATCGCAGCTTGTGCATATGGTTTATTTGCTGTATGATGTCCTCCACCATTTAGAGGAATTTGTGAGTACGAGAGAGATCTCAGGTCTGGTGGGAGCAAATTGTGGCGACTGACCACTTTCCTTCTCTGTGTTTCCCCTGATGTTGTTTACCGCGTCGGCATCTCCACACACGCTCTTCCTTCTGTCATTAAACCGCGGAGAAGCACCACATTGTCGCAAGTTTAATGATGTACAGAACGAAATGCCTCAATAACTCCGATCTGTTTACGACAGTCAGATTGTCACATATCCAATCTATATCTGATTTATTTCCACATATGAAGGAGGCCTGAAACCGATCTCTGAATATCCGAATGCATGCGTTATTTTCACGTTTACATAGAACAGATCCGATCTGTCGCATAGGAGCAAAAAATCGGAATTGGGTCACATTTAACTAGCAGTGTAAACGGGGCCTTAAGCCTGATTTATACTTCTGCGTCAGGTGACCGGCGTAACCCACGGCGCAGGCAACGCGCGTGGCTGTGTATTTATACTTCTGCGCGCTGTCTCTGTCGGTCTGCATTAACACTTCCGAAACGGTAGTGGGCAGTGAGGTGTTAATGTTCCTCTGTGTCGAGTTTCTTCTTTGCTTTTTTGCTTTTCCTGAACACTTCCGGGATGTACAAGTGGCTCAAACTCGCTCATTTTGAGGCAGGAACCGGCGGACGTGCAACAACTTTAACTATGAGGTAAACACAAAACAAAACTTTCCATCCGGAGCTCCTTCATGGGACTCCACACTTGTAAACAATCGCTCGCGCCATTCGCGCGGCTCTCGGTCCCGCCCAGACTCGTCAGCGCTACCAAGCCGCCCAATCACAGAGCTTACGCTACGCGTCGTTGCGACGTGTAGTTACATTTTTTGAGAGGTGCACGTCAGTGACGGCGATGGCCACGGCGAAGGGCTATGCGTCAGCGCCGTAGCATACGCCGACGTTTGACGCAGAAGTATAAATCAGCCTTTACTTTCCCTCCACCTGTCCAAACTAGTTTAAAGCACGTTCTATTAGATTTTGTTGGCTTTAATTCTGTAAAACTTTTTTATCACTGTTAATCTAAATACTATTTAATAGATTTTAGCAAAAATAAAATTGTTATATCAGCAGTATACTTTTTTATTTACCATAAAATAGATATAAAAGCTGGCATGTTGTTAAACACAAACAAACAGCAAGCGAACCAAATCTTTATGAGTTTGTATTTCCAGAGTATTTGTATTTCCTACTATGGAAGTATACTAGCTTTCTTTAAAATATCTTCTTTAGTGTTTGACCGAATAAGGGTCTCATAAAGGTTTATAGCCTTTTTATAGCCTATTTTGAGTAAATACATTCTTTTAGGATGAGCTGTCCTTTAAAATAAAAACTCCAGCACTGAAGTTGTGCTTGCCCATATGACATGCTGATATTTTCAATTAATTTTGTTTTCTTTTCTCTGACAGGGATAACAATATTGTGATAGTGGTGGGTGAAACGGGCAGTGGTAAGACGACGCAGCTAACGCAGTATCTTCATGAGGACGGTTACACCAGCTATGGTATGGTGGGCTGCACACAACCCCGCAGAGTGGCAGCCATGAGTGTGGCTAAGAGAGTCAGC